CTTGGCACGCTTCCTGCCTGTCTTCCCCTCCGGAATCCCTGGCTTGGCAGTGGGAGTGTCCCGATTGCTCCGGCGATCCTCATGGCGGCGTTGTCGCTGAATCCAACGAAAATTTGGATCTCATGGCTGCGACTCTGACGGACGCTGAAAAGGCGAAGAAGAGGCAGGAGCTGATGGGTGGCAAAATCGGTGTGGATGAAGAAGAGAACAAGGATGCGGGAGATGACGATGTCGTGGCCGCGCTAGGAGCAAACCTGACTTGCATTTTCTGTATGCAATTGCGTGAGAGACTTTAGATCAATTTGCCATATTTTGCTCAGACAAAGTCCAGGTGGGAAACTAATTTTCAACTGTATAGATCCTGATAACAAATGTCTGGAATCTAGTTGAAGACTCACCTTGAGATTTCAGACATTTGGTATCACATGATCCATATAGTTATAAATTAGTTTCCCACCTGAAATTTGCCTGAGCAAAATATAAGTGGCATGAGAAACAGACTGAAAAAAAAAAACTAGAAAACCACAAAACAATGTCATTCCAAATAAATTTTAAGTTTAGAAAGGGTTCTCAAAATTTATGATTTTAGTTGTAATTATAGACAAGAAGCAAAAATATAATGCTAGTTTTTTTGTGTGTGTGAAACTGTTCTTAAATATAAGCACTTCTGGAAACATAAAAAAAATGATAGATTAAAGAAGAATACATTTAATTTTTCTTCGTCTTGATATTGCAGTTCAAAGCTCTTTGAAGGAAACATCATTGTATAAACAAAGAACAAATTAAACAAAAGAAAATAGAAGATCTGAGGATACACCAAACAAACTTGTTTAAGTAAACGATTTTGCGAGTTGTAGAAGGGAGTTAAGTAAACTTATCTCCCTACGTCTACGTCTACGTCTTCGTAGAAACACAACTTCTACGTCTTGTAATGTTACTGGAACCAATACTGCTCTTCTCCTCGGGGGCTTTTCCTCCATTTCCCAAGTCTCTAATAAAAACGAAGAAACGGTATTTAATTTAACAAACTAAATTTCATTCAATCGAATAATGTTTTGTGTAAGTAAGATGGATGGCTCTCTTCACCAATCCGTATTAGATACTTTTATGAGACAAGTTAATGGTGAGTGGCTGGGTCTCTTCACCATTCAAAGTTAAACGGTAGAAGTAACTAAAAGGCAAACAAACAGAATCGAATTGTTCACCTGTTTAGGATGTGTCATTTAACAAGTCCGTGAATTATTTTCTTATTTAGAGCATCTATTTATAAAAGTTATCATTTGATAAATTATGAGTGGCGAGTGTGAAAGGCTAAAAGCTTTGTCATTTCAATATATTTTTGATGGAGTCGTAGTTCTGCATGCAACTCCGATGAAATCTGATAGACCACTCTTTCTTCTTTGTTTTCTTCATTTGCTGCCTAAGACTTTTAGTAAGCACTACCATCTTCATTTATGATAGCAACCTGTATCAAAGGATAAAAGCTAAAAATCTCATAGAATTTTATAAAATAGTTTACTAAAACGTTGAATCATAAAGCTATCTAAAACACATAATTCATATATATCTACATAGAAAATAATACAATCAAACCTGTACGTAGAGTTTGAAACATGGAAGAGTTACTAGAAAAACAGATTATATACGTACACTCCTCACAAATAATTTCTAGATATTTAAGCAATGCCTATCAATCAAAATTATTAACCCATTGCACAAAAAAAAGAATTATTAACCCACTCTTCCGGAACTATTTCCTCTTTTAAACGTTTAGTTGAAATTTTTCAGTTGCTTTGTGCATTATATAGGCATTGCTTAAACTAATTTTGATTGATACACCTAAAGCAATTTAGCAAGTATACGCATAGGTGATGATTTGTTGTTGTAATATTAGCTTCTATGTACACGAATTTCTTTTGTAAAAGGCGAGAGGAGAACTAAAAAAAAAAAAAAAAAAAAAAAACAACACACAATGACGTCAGTTGATAATATTAAATTAGGCCAGATTATTTTACCAAAAGCTGATTAAAAACAAATCACAGCTGGAGTTGGCTGAGATTTCTTTCCTAGCTGGGATATGTGAAGAGGAGATATTTTGTTTATAATGAGATGGAGAAAGGGTTAAAGCTCCTTACCAATAATCCTTCTTACTAATAGACATGGCAGTTTTTAATCTTCTCAGTGAGCTCCACACAAAGAAATCCGATTTTCGTATCTGTGCTAAGGTTGTTCGGAGATGGACAAATGAAACAGAATGGTTTGGACATTTTCTAGAGATCATTCTCCGTGATGAGATGGTATAATTTATATATTGTCTCTTATCAATAAATTTGTAGTTTGTATATTTTTCTTACCTGTAATTTGATTTATATTTTTTGACTAGGGTACAATGATCCAGGCCTCTGTTCCGAATGGACTAGCTGAAAGATTGAACGTTGAAATCAAAGAAGGTGACAGTTATGTCATTGAACTCATATGCCGAGAAAAATCCACCGCTATTTGATCAGAAGTATCACATTCTCTTCTCGACTCAAAAATGTCATCAGAAGAGTGTCTGATGTGACAGAAAATCCATTCTACAATTTCTGGAGTTTCGAGAGGTGCTCGATGATGAACTCATCAAAAAATACCCATTAGGTATGCATAACTCTTTGATTTAACATTTACTTTATATACTATACTCTTTATATATAGTGAATTTAAATTTTCAGAATCTAATTTTGCATAAATTGTTGTAGTTGATCTCATGGGTGTTATTGTTAGAGTTGGGTTGGAAAAAACCTTAAAAGATGAGAATGGTGAAAGAATTGAGCCTTACGAAGATAATAAGTACATGAAATTCACTATAAGGGACATCAAGTAAGTTGAAATTCCGGATCTATGTTTTATTTTGTCAAAATATTAGACAATTGAAACCTTATCTATGACTTCATTGAGTAATAAAGTTTGTTTCATGTATTTTGTAAGTGGTAACGATTACATTGCCTAGCGACTGGGAGATATATTGAGCAGGTCAGAAGAAAGCTGAATAAGCACAAATGTTTCGATCTGACCAGACTTTTTGTGTCTTAAGATTATGGAAAATTGGTGATTTCAAAGCTAATATTATCGTCCAAATTTATATTGTTTCGTGTTTTGTGTAAACATGCTACATAAAAATAATATTGATCGTTATATACAAAAGATGTGATTTTATAAATCTCCATATGCCATATGCAATAATTTTTGCCAATATTATTTGATACTGAAAGCTATTGCCTTTATTTGTATAGAAAACGTCAGAGTGACGAGTGTTGAAGGAGTTTCTGCTATTTTGGAGGATGTTGCTGATGAAGGATTTGAGGAGTTTAAAAGAATGTGAGGTTTCACACAAATTATAATTATGAATATGTTGTTTTAAAAGTTTAGTGATTTATATGTTAAACTTGCGAAATTGTTTATCACACCTCAGGGCCGAGTTACGGATGTGTGGCATGAAGAAGTCACTGGACACGAGGACGACTGTCCTTTTGTAACTAAATCTTTCAAGATTTAAATATCGTATGCATTTATATAGTTGAAACTATGATGGCACTCTTGTTAAGTTTTGGGTTCATAAACTATGTTTGTTTTTTTTATACTATGATCAAAACAAATCACAGTTGGAGTTAGCAGAGATTTCTTTTCTAATTGGGAGATATTTTATTCCTAATGAGTTGATTTGGTTTTATTTTTTTCCTCCCATTTTCTTTTTTGGCAATTTCGTCCATTTTATGGAAATAGAGGTATTTTTTTTTTTTTTATATTCATTTCATTTTGTTGACTGAAATTCAAAAAAATCTAAAAGACCCGCTACTCCACTTTTCGTCTCCCTCTTAATTCACCCTAAATCCTCTCCTCCCTCTCCACCCTTAAATCCCGGAACCCACATTTCTCACTCTTATCTCGAATCTCGCAAACAGCACTTATCTCTCTCTCCATCTCTCTAATCCTCTCTCTAATTTCATCATCGGAATGGCGCAGGTTCCAATCGATCCCGAGGGTATGTGTATGCGGTGCAAAGCAGCTCCTCCGCCGGAGGAATCTCTCTTTTGCGGCACGTGCACTGCGCCTTGGCACGCTTCCTGCCTGTCTTCCCCTCCGGAAACCCTAGCTTCGACTCTGCAGTGGGAGTGTCCCGATTGCTCCGGCGTGATCGATCCTCATGGCGGCGTTGTCGCCGAATCCAGCGAAAATTCGGATCTCATGGCTGCGATTCACGCGATTGGGGCTGACCCGACTCTGACCGAAGCGGAAAAGGCGAAGAAGAGGCAGGAGCTGATTGGCGGCAAAATCGGCGTGGATGAAGAAGAGAAAAATGATGTCTTTGCCGCGCTCGGAGAAAACCTGAACTGCCTTTTCTGTATGCAATTGCCTGAGAGACCCGTCACGGTTTGTCCCTCTTTCCCTCCAATTGCGTCTCTCTTTTGCTTGTTCATGGAATCTCTGAAGCCGAATTCAATTTTTAGGGGTTTTGTTGATGTTTGGTTAATGATCGAATCTATTCTAGGGTTTTCAATATCTAGAGGTCTTTTGTTGGTTTGATGAATTTGTTAAACCGCGAATCTAGTTTAGATCTCGCTTTTCTTATGGAATCTTCATGGACTTAATTGTGCTTACCAGTAAAGAAAAAATTTGTGTCAAAGAAGTCAATTTTCAACCTTTGTTTATGGTTGATCAACTTTGTACTCGTTTTTGGTTGCGGTTAGTATCATGATGGCTACTTTACCGTGTCAATAGGCAACTTAATTTCTGCAAATGAGTGTGTATAAAACTGTACACTTTTGTATTGGTTTTTGGTTGCTGTTAGTGGTCTGTTTTTTCAATTCATTCTTGTCAATGTTAAACTGTTGTTTGCTTGTTTTTGGTTGCTGAGTATTGATATTGTGAGCTTTAGGTGGTATAAGTATTCTGACAAATTTGAAGACGATTAAGCAGATTTGACAAATATCTTGTGAAATTGTTTTGCTGAGTATTTGAGATTGTGAACTGATATATTTCGTGTGTGTATTTTGCAGGGACCATGTGGGCACAATTTCTGTCTCAAGTGTTTTGGGAAATGGGCTGTTGGTCAAGGCAAGCGTACTTGTCCCAAATGCCGCACTGCATTTCCTGCCGGAATGGTCACAAATCCTCAGATCAACTATGCACTTGTCTCTGCCATTCGTCTGGCCAAAGATCCTCAGCGAGCTGCTGCTGTTCATCACGTCATAAGAAACGAAGACTTGCCTGATAGAGCGTTCGCATCGGAGCGCGCAGTGAATGCAGGTTACTCAAATGCTACCGGCGGCAGAATCTTTGTGACAACACCACCAGATCATTTCGGTCCAGTTACAGCGGAATATGATCCTGAAAGAAACCAGGGCGTGTTGGTCGGAGAGTCTTGGGGCTATAGAGATGGGTGTAGACAGTGGGGGATTCACTACCCACACATGGCTGGAATTGCTGGTCAATCAAAGTATGGATCTCAGTCTGTGGCTCTCTGTGGAGGTTATGATGACGACGAGGACCACGGTGAATGGTTCATATACACCGGAAGGTTTGGTTTTTTCTTTTTCATCACTCTTTTATCTTACGCAGACGTAATACAGTTTAGTGATAAGACTTTCTATCTTTTTGTATTGAATATGTGTCACACAGTGGAGGAAGAGACCTCAGCGGCAACAGAAGGACTAGCGATGAGCAAACGTCTGACCAGAAGTTTGAAAGGTCTAATGAAGCTTTAAGACTGAGTTGCCAAATGGGTTATCCTGTTCGTGTTATCAGGTTAGCTGTTTTATGAGCACAAGTCAAATAAAGTTTGAACATGAAACTATGGCTGAAAGTTTGATACTAAAAATTAAAATAATTTCTTGATAAATAAACAGGTCTTTCAAAGAGCCTTCTTCATATGCGCCTGAGACAGGATACAGATATGACGGGGTTTATAGGGTTGAGAAGTGCTGGATCAAGGTTGGAATACAGGTACGCACACAATTATGTTTTTCACTCTTCTTTTTTATTCAGTTCTTGATTCTTTTCCTAACCTTTGTTTTGTCCATAGGGTGTTTATAAGGTCTGTCGTTACCTCTTTGTTAGATGTGATAACGAGGCAGCTCCATGGACCAGGTCTGATCTAACTTCTTGAGAACCTGCCTTTTTTTTTACATCTTTTCTATTTCAGAGTTTAATTACGCTGTGTTATATATATACTCTGCAGTGATGAGCATGGAGATCGTCCAAGGCCTTTGCCTAATGTTCCAGAGCTGGAGATGGCAACAGACTTGTATGAGAGGAAGGAAACTCCATCATGGGATTTTGATGTAAGTTTCAAGATAACTTTCCGAGTGTGATCACATATCAAGTCTTTGTTTCCTGGTTCATTATCTTTAATCTTTTCCATGTATGTTTACTTGATCAGGAAAGTGATGGTCGCTGGAAATGGATGAAGCCTCCACCTGCCAGCAAAAAGGCACGTGGTGAGAAAGCACAATCGAATACCAAGAGAAAAAGACTTGTGAAAGGTTTGAGTCTCCTACTCTCTTGCCAAAAAGGGTTAACCTAATTCAGAATGTTTTACATCAATAATCATATTCAAAAGTAGGATGCTTTATGGAATACAGTTTGGTCGTATCTAAACCGTTGTTGGGGTTTTTGTGTGTGTGTTTAATGCAGAGTTGAGTTGCAAAATCTGTAAGCAATTGATGAGTCTTCCTGTAACAACACCATGCGCTCACAACTTTTGCAAGGCATGCTTAGAAAGCAGATTTGCTGGGCAAACAGCAATGATTGATAGAAACAAAGGTGGACGCACGCTTCGTGCAAGGAAGAACATCATGAAATGCCCTTGTTGCCCCAACGACATTTCTGATTTTCTCCAGAAGGACCCTCAGGTAAAAACATCCTCATCATCATCTCTTTTTCTCGCATTGGTCACTCTTAATGGAGTTAATACCTCTTCTTTTACGAATCCATTTAGTCATTTTGATGTGTCCATTCATGAAAAGTGACAATCTCAATAAGTCTTGTGAAATTGCCATTGGATTCTGAAAGGTAACTATTGTGTGGAAACAGGTGAATAGAGATTTAATGTCAGTGATTGAGACGCTGAAGACAGAAGAAGAGGAGGCAGTGCCTGTAAGTGCATCAGATGAAGAAGGTGGAAGCTCAAGTGTAGATGGAAACTCTGAGATCAAAGACGCTGAGGAAGTAGAAGAAACTCCGGTGGTGACTGAAGATGCTGATGAGCAACCAAGGAAAAGGATCAAACTTGACACTGACACACTCGTTTCTTCTGCGATTGTTGTCGAGTCTGGCATGGAGGAAAAAGACTAAACTGAACCTATCTAATGGCTTCATCTTTTTTTTTTCGATCGAACCAAAATGTTTTGTTGTTTTTATCATACATCTCTATCTTTTTTGCTTTTTAACCATATTTGCTTTAACTAACCTGTTTGTACCATTTTGGTATATTGGTTTGTACTTTTAAACATTATATGAAAGGTATTTTGCCAATTTGGGGAAAAGTTGATGAAAATATTATTCAGTATTCTCTCTCCCTCATGTGTTCATCATCATCAAAACACATATCCTTATAGGCTTCTAGGTGATCTACTTCCCTTTGTATCATCACCCTTTAGACTGTTGTTGCTTCACCTTGCATGTGAGCAGCTCTTGAAGCCATAGCTCGAAGGTTAACCTATATTTCTCTCTGTTTCTGCTTCTTAGCGTTTATAGGACTCGGCGTTTCCTTGTCTCTCAAGTTAGCAGAAGCAGATGTTTGTGATTCGATTTCTTTAGGAAACAAAAGCTGAATTGTGTTCCATGAACCGTATTAACAGTACAGTATCTTCCATTTCCGCATAAAAGTAATAACATTTTTTTAGATAAATCTGATAGCTTTTGATCGAAAGCTTAGAAAACTTGCTAATATTATGCTTAGAGACAAAATTTAAGCAATCAACAAACTAAAAAATCAGGAAAATTAGTTAAGGAAGCTTAAGATAACGCTTACATGTTAAGCACCTTACGAAAATCCAACACACATGTTAAATCTCCATTTTCCTGGGACTATTTCATCATTTTTTCAAACTAATATTTCTGGACAAGTTCATGCATTTGTGTGATACAAACTACACATCCAAGTTATTTAAATTAGAAACAGCCTAGAACTAGTCCTTAATGCAACAAACATCGTAAAAAATGTATGTAATACAAGTGTTTTAATGGAGAAAATGGGAGTTTTGAGAATTAATACTTTGTGGATCGACATTGTTAGACATATCTAGAGGGTTTTGATCCAAAACTCATCAAATTTTTATATATTTACGGATTTACTTATTAGTTGCTTGCATTTTGAGCATTTCCTTCCACGGGGTCAGTTTCGTAGCAACATCTTGGATACAGAGTCATTCATATTATTATAGATAGCTTGATCTCCAAGTTCAAAGATACTTTTTTTTTCGTAAAAGCCGAGCCAATAGGATGAACTAAAAAAAAAAAGAGTTCTGCATTATGAACTTTGTATCGCGCACATAACTTAGTCACATAACTGGGAATGAATAAATAAGATCGGAAATCTATAAATGAGGGGGGGGTACAATTTCTATTGTATCTAATGAATCTTGGGGTATTTCTGCCCTTCAACTATAGATCCTTTTTTTACTTGTTTGATTCTTTCAAACAGAACTCAGTTAACCTTTCCTTTCGAATATGTAGTATGTATAAAGTATTATACATTTTTTTTGAACGGATGGATCCACAACATGAACAAAAAAAGCGAGGGGGATAAAGGATGATTGCACCCTTTTTACTAAGGATACGTTTAATTTGCAGGATAGAAACTTATCAAAATTAATCAATCCAATCAATCCTATGCCAAGAACCAGATTTGAACTGGTGACACGAGGATTTTCAGTCCTCTGCTCTACCAACTGAGCTATCCCGGCGATTACCGAAGTATCATCCTCATTTTACTAGATGGCTTAGGTCTATGTCAATTAAAAGAAACGCAAAAAAAGTAGTAAATGAAAAAAGTGTTGGACCGGGAATTTCTTGGATCCGCGAAAAGAAGACTTTCTAAGTTTTAAAATGAAAAATGATATAGATTCTAAATAATTCAAATCGATATTTCTTGTTCATTTGTACGTGGATGATATATCCCACAAGACTTGTATATAATATAATAAGAAAAGAAATTTTAGTTTGTAAAAGCGTAGGATGAATGAAAAAAGATAATGAATTTTTGAATAACTAAAAAAAAGCTAAGGTGTCAGCGGGGGAGTGGGGATAGAGGGACTTGAACCCTCACGATTTTAAAAGTCAACGGATTTTCATCTTACTATAAATTTCATTGTTGTCAGTATTGACATGTAGAATGGGACTCTATCTTTATTCTCGTCCGATTAATAAGTTCCGCCAAGGATCTACCAGATTATGAAGTGAATCATTTGATCAACACAAGGTAGTGAACTCCATTTGAACTCCATTTGTTAGAACAGCTTCCATTGAGTCTCTGCACCTATCCCTTTTTCTCGCTTTTTAAACTCCGGTTTGTTCGCGTAAACCAGGATTTGGCTCAGGATTGCCCATTGTTAATTCCAGGGTTTCTCTGAATTTGAAAGTTATCACTTAGTAGGTTTCCATACCAAGGCTCAATCCAATTAAGTCCGTAGCGTCTACCAATTCCGCCATATCCCCTTTTTTGCTTTGAGATTAGGATCTCATTATGATGTCTTTCCACTTTGTCTTATGTCGAAACTTTTGAATTCATTACATATAGATACTTATTTCTTTGGTATCGTCTTTCTTTTTTTTTCGCCCCCATCCATATTGATTTAGTCTGATCAATAAAGATTCTATTATTTTTGTATTTGCAATTCAATATGGTTATATATTACATAACATATATATGTTCTTCCTTTTCTCATCTTTGTCTTAAATTTGAAGAAATAGTCGAACGGTCGATTCTTTTTTTTTTTACTTCCACGAAAATAAATTTATGATTATTATTAAAACTTAGAATTCTACAATGTGCAATGGAAAAAGATTATAAACTAACTTCGTAGATTTGAAGTTCGAATAATTCTAAAAAATTCTATTCGAATAGTCATTTCGAATATTAATTCTAATAATTGTCTAATATTAGAAATAAAATCAAAAGACAAAAAGTATAAAATAATAATAGCATTGAGGTTAGAACAAAAAAAAAACAAGAATTTCAAATGAGATATCGTTTAACTAAAAAAAAAAAAAAGATTTCTGATCTAATTAAGATTTTCTTATTTAGAAACTAATGAAATCAAAATGAGAAAGTCGATATATTGCTATATTCTATTAATTATAATTAATTAAGGTTATGTTTTATTGATTTACTGATAATTACTATTTATTTGAGCTATATTCTGTTCTAGAATATATAGAATATGATTAATTCTAAATAGATAAGAAAAATATGAATAGAATAGTTAATTGATACGATCTAGTAGTTTAGTGAATTTGTATGCATGCGCTATTTTATTTGAGCCCGCTTAGCTCAGAGGTTAGAGCATCGCATTTGTAATGCGATGGTCATCGGTTCGATTCCGATAGCCGGCTTTTCCATATTTTTTCGTTTTTTTACATGATTTTTAATGTACTTTCAAAATCAAAGAAGATTGAAAAGACTTCTTTCACCTTTTTATAAGAGTTACCACGCCGTTTATATTATATCATATAAACTTTCATATAGGAATATATATTGGTAAAAGGTTTCGATTTTTGCAAAATAAATCAAGAAAATAAAGGCAAATTTTTGTGATTTATTTTATTTCTATATATTGTATATACAATACAAAAAAATCTGTATATTGAGAGAATATATCTTCTGACTCTTTGTATTCCAAGAAACTGTTGGAGTGGATTTCACATCATTTATCATTATCATTTAGTTCAGTTTTAATTTTTTTTAGTTTTGTACAATTTCAATAAAAAAAGGAGTCTTTATGTCACGTTACCGAGGGCCTCGTTTTAAAAAAATACGCCGCCTGGGGGCTTTACCGGGACTAACTAGTAAAAGGCCTAGGGCAGGAAGCGATCTTCGAAACCAATCACGCTCCGGAAAAAAATCTCAATATCGTATTCGTTTAGAAGAAAAACAAAAATTGCGTTTTCATTATGGTCTTACGGAACGCCAATTACTAAAATATGTTCGTATCGCCGGAAAAGCCAAGGGGTCAACAGGTCAAGTTTTATTACAATTACTTGAAATGCGTTTGGATAACATCCTTTTTCGATTAGGTATGGCTTTGACTATTCCTCAAGCGCGCCAATTAGTTAACCACGGACATATTTTAGTTAATGGTCGCATAGTTGATATACCAAGTTATCGCTGCAAACCCCGAGATATTATTATGGTGAAGGATGAACAAAACTCTCGAACTTTGGTTCAAAATCTTCTTGATTCATCTGCCCCCGAGGAATTGCCAAACCATCTGACTCTTCACACATTCCAATATGAAGGGTTAGTCAATCAAATAATAGATAGGAAATGGATCGGTTTGAAAATAAATGAATTGCTTGTCGTAGAATATTACTCTCGACAGACTTAATAAACCTAACTTAAGTAAAAAAAAAATAACTAAAAAACAATAGTTCGGACAACTCCCCTTTTCCCTCTTTTTTGATTAAAAAGGTACGGGGTAAGGGATTTTGTTGGGGAATCTTTTTCCTATTCATGTATCATAGATTGGTAGGGAGGTTTGGATCCATTGTTTGCTCTTCCCAAGATTTTCCATATCAAAGCAATTTAGATTTTATATCTATTTTTTTTATTTGATACATTGTGGTCAATCACGTAAGATCGGTGAATTACTGGAAAGTATGGAAAGAGAGGGATTCGAACCCTCGGTAAACAGAAGTCTACATAACAGTTCCAATGTTACGCCTTCAACCCCTCGGCCATCTCTCCGACATCAGGATTATTACTGAGTACCTGGGTGAATAGCGAGTTATTCATCAATGTTTTTTAGATTCTGGTTAATAGATACTTTTTTTACCGGAAAAAATGGGACATTGGACGTAGATAAAAGGTTTTTTTATTTTAACGAGTCCGCTTTTATGTTAGTTCGTACTATAAAATTCCTTTGTTTGTGAAAATATTTTCTCACAAAAGAAAAGGAAATAAAAAGAGTTATAGAATGGATTACTACCTATGCCAAGATCGCGTATAAATGGAAATTTTATTGATAAAACCTTTACAATTATAGCCGATATCTTATTACGAGTCATTCCGACAACTTCCGGAGAAAAAGAGGCATTTACTTATTACAGAGATGGTGCGATTTGATTATCATTAT